GGTGGGCAGGGCGGGGTGGGGACGGTGGGGCGGCCACTCACGTCGATGAGCTGCTTCACGCCGTTCCTGCGCAGGTCGCTGCTGATCTTGGCGGCCAGCAGCACGCAGGCGCCCGCGCACAGCTTGCGGGTCTGCTTGTTGAGCTTGCCCTGCAGGACCAGCTTCTCGAAGTACACGTAGGCCATGGACACCGTCACGGGCTCCAGGCCGCACTCCTCAGACAGGTTCCGCATTTCTCGCTTTAAACTGTGGGTTCACAGAGCCAAGGCTGGGGGGCCAGGAGTGCCTACACCCTCCTGAGGGATGTGCCTCCCAGCACCCTTCCCCGAAGGGCAGGGCCCAGCCCCAGGGCCGGCTGGGCGGGCAGCAGGCCAGTCCTGGCCTCCACTTGCCCCTCGCTGGGGCTTGTGGCACCCAACTGTCCTCAAGGGGGCCCCACAGAGGACAGAGCAGGGCGTGGGCCAGTGTGGGGTGCGACTGGCAATGCAAAGGCCCTGAGGCATGGGTGTGCCGCAGTGGAGTCTGGACCAGGCGCTGTGGGGCCTTGGTTTCCTCCCCTGGGAGGGGGGACGGTCACAGCGGGGATGGTGCAGTGGGTGCCAGCGAGGAGGGCGCCGTGGGAGTAGGTGCGACATGCGCTGGGGGCCTGCCTGGGGGAGGCCGCGAGGGGGCTGCTGCTGCTGGCTTGGCCGGAAGGCATGCGGGTGGGCTTGGGAGGGGCGCCTCTGGGTTTGTCCAGCTCAGGAATCCACCCGAAACGGGAGGTGAGGCCCGTGTGCTGCTGCGGTGGGCCCGGGGATGCCTGCCTCGGCCCTCCTCACCTCCTGATTTTGCTCAGCGTCAGCTTGATGTGTGGGAACTTCTCCCGGAAGGTCTCGTTCATATCCTTCTTGAGGTCGGAGGGTTTCACGTACTCTATCACCGTGGTCTGCAACAGAGAGGGGCCAGGCCCAAGCAGCCAGGCACCCGGTTGAGGCCTGAGTGACTTGGGGCGAGGGCTGACCCGGGTGCGTGGCAGCACCGCTTCCCGACGCACGCGCCCCTCGGCGCAGCCCAGCCCCAGCGGCGGCCCCGTACCATGTAGGACGCGAAGATGAGGACACGCTTGTGCTTGCCGCAGGGCCACTGAGGGTCATCCAGGAGGTCGGGGTTGTACTCTAGGGTATCCCCTGCGTCAGTCCCTGCAAGCAGAGGGCAGCCCTGACCCACCATGAGCCCTGCGCCCTGGTCAACAGCTTGTGCCAACCCGAGCCTCGGTCAGAAGCTGTCTGGAGCCAGGGAGCAGCTGGGGCTGAGGGCGTCACTGTGGACCAGGGGAGTGACACTCGGGGGTCCAGGGGCTCCCCCTCCCCTAGAGCTGAGTGGGAGGATGGACGTCCTGACAAGGAAGGACCCACAGAGCCATCAGTGGACCCCACTCCCCAAGCCTGGACTGAGCACTGTGGACTCCAGTGTGACTCACTGGTCTGCCTGCCACGTGGCGCCCCTGGTCCAGCGCCTGTGGCTGCTCGCCCTGCACGGTCAGAGCCCTCAGGCTACCTAGTTCCGGGCCGGCTGGTGTTGCCCTGGCAGGGGCTGGTTTACATCTTGACCCCGGCAGAGTGCGGGGGACGCTGGGCCGGGGCGGAGGCGGCGGGCCATGGCTGTCCGGCTTGAGTGTCACCAGGGCATTGGTGGGGTACAGGAACTTGGCGTAGGACACAACCTGGAAAGGCAGTGGGTTGGGCTCAGCCCCATGACCCCATCCAAGACCAGAGGTCAAGCCAGCTCCCCTCTGCTCCTTCCTGTGGCAGGAAGGCCCCGCACAAACGCTCCCACATGCAGACCAGGAAGGGACCCTGGCGGCTCACGCCGCCAGGACCGCTGCTGATCGCTCCGCGAGCCCCCCATCCCTCACCTGGGGTCTGGAGCCAGGAGCTTCATCCTGCCTCCAAGCCCCGACCTCCCACACCCTCACCACCCAGCTGCCGGGGGCAGCAGGCTCGCCCCACAGGCTGCGTGGCTCCCTCCCACGGATACCTTGCATTTTAGAAACTTGAACTGAAACGACCTTGAGCCCACCTCCTGGATACACTAAGTCCCCCCACTGCTGAGTACAGCGCCAACTCTTACCTTTCCATCCGCTCCCAACTCGACACCTTCCAACTGAAACACCATCTCTGAAGACACGGAAATGCCGCCGGACGGGTGCCTCTGCTTCTGGCTGTCCCCCCGCAGGTCACTGCAACGCACAGAGCGGGGCGAGCTGCTGGGCCCCCCACCTCCCCACACAGGCTCTCCCGCTGCCGCGCCCTCCGTGCCTGCCCAGGTGACACTGGTTTCCTCACTGTGGGAAGAGCAGCACTGGCCTCAGCGGCGACACAGGGAAGGACCCCTGTCGCAAGGACTGTCCGCAACCTGCTCCTTCCCGGGGCACAGGCACTTCCTGTTCACACTCCCTGGAGGTGGGCCAACCTCCACTTCATCCAGCTCGCTCCCCAGGTGTGTGCCCTCCACCCGCAGCCACGTCCTCGGCCAGCGTGGCTCAGCCCACGGGGTAGAAGGCTTCCTCCCGCCTGTTCTCGTGCCAGGTCACACTGTCCCCACCCTGACAGCCATATCCCTCTCCCTAGTTACGCGGGGACACAGCTGCCTGGACTGGTCACAGGGACGTACGGCAGTGTCCTGGCTGGAGGGACGTCCCAGGCGCCTGCATTCAGCAGCTCACACGAGATAACAAGTGCGGACATGCCCCTCCCAGAGAACCTGGACCCAGATGGCCTTCAGAACTCCCGAGAAGCTTCGGTGGAAGCTGGTCTGCTGGCCCCTATGTGAGGCTGCCACGAGTGGATGCAGCCAGACCAGGCCCCTGCCGCGTGGGGACCAGCCTCTCACCTGACCCGCAGGCCTTCTCCGTACGGCAGGACTGAGAAGGCCGCACACAGGGACCTCTTGGCACAGATCAGCACGATCCTGAGGGGAGGATGGGGGTTAGAACAGGGCAGCAGGGGTTTCCAGGGGTCCTTCCTGCCTAGACTCAGGTGATGGGAACTGCCCCAGTGTCCTGGGGGCTCTCAGGTCAGGAGGCCCAGGGCACGGGGTGAGTCCACCTGGCTGCTAGCTCTCCCTGGTTTCCTCCAGGCACTCAACAAAGGCATCAGGTCTTGTCCAGTCAGTGAGCAC